ACTGTATACAAATTTGGATAACAACCAACCAAGAATAATTAATTGCACTTTTTGTAACCATGTTAGTTTCGGTTTTTGACCTATATTTTGGATCAGCCACTTGATTAAATCATATAACGTTTAAATGGGATTAACTCCTGCAAGCTATTGTCATCATACAAAACCTCGTCATTAAGCATCAGGTCTAAATGAGAGAAAATTAAGGTGAAAACATACGTATTGTTGTTTGCGCTGAATTTCTTTCGAACCATCATCGGAAATATTTCATATCAAAAAAACTGCTGACCTTATTTTTTCACACAAACTCTTCTTATCAGCACATGCCATTAACGGTGACTTTGGTCGTTGAACAGATCTAGTCCCTACGATCAGGAAGATTTTTAGTGGGTTTTTTTGTAATCCTCTGGAACTGACTGTTTCCCAGGAAATCAATTGAAGTAAACACGGAAATTCACGATATTACAGACTTTTTTTGTAAAAGGATCTACTCCGAATATTTGACATGTCTTTATGCTGACCCGTGACAAACAATTCCATCAGACTGACTAAGCACCTTGTAATTTAACATCGTTTGAGCTGAAATGAATCTCTATCGGTCTGAATGTGGCACAGCTCCATTCGGCTTAGGTGTCTGCCTCAGATCTTGGCAGTGGAATATCTCATTCACTGAAAACCAAGTTGATATCGACCCAGAAGGACAATAATCCCTCTTAAAACATAGTCTAATTTAAATTTCAAATATGGATGGCCGCGATTTACATTCTTTATACACTGTCTTGAGTTTACCTTTGTTTTATGCGTAAGTTGGAATGATTATACTCAAGCGCGTACTAATATAGGCGGAGATTTTTCTATGCTCACATTATCCGCCTTTTTTGTAATTCTAGAGGAATCAGTATGAGTTCATGTAACACTCTGACAGAAAATCTAACTCAACCAAGCCTCCTGGCTGGCGGAGCCGGGAGTCCTCGTGTGAATCAGACACCGGCGCAGTGAATTAATTAGGCATGATTTGAACTCGGGCGGGGCAGTGTATTATTTGTCGGGTATAATTGATTCAATGATAGTAAGACAACCTCAAAAATAGGGGATATGACTTTGATCAAGTATAGTCCCAAGTTTATTTGAGCTCTCAAAGTGCATTCTTTTTTTCTGGTAATTCTAAACATTTTAAAGTAGACGTCTCCCTGAATCTTTAAGCCAAATTACGAGGATCAAAGTTTAATTCTATGTTCTTGTTAATATCACCAGCCTCTGTTTTCTCCGACATACTGTTCTGGACTGAGTTGACCTAAGAGTTGGCCATTTTGACGGAAAAATAATTACGGAGAGCCCGAAGGTTATGCTGAAATTCTACCTTTTGTTACGATATTTCCTTACTAATAAATAGAAATTTCCAAATCCTTTGTTATATGAAACTTCACGTTGATTCGGGACTTGGGTTATGTCGGAAGATCACAAAAATATGGTAAAATGTAACTGTCCTGTGCGAAATTTCTAAAGAACTTTTGTGCTTTAAATGTTTGATATTTTGACAGAATCACAATGCCCTGACTTGCTGAGATGGTCGAAACCAGCATATAAGTCACAATATAACAAGCATCGTTTAAATTTTTTTAAAAAACGGGTTCATTAAATTAATCAGCCATGATTATACGCTGCTTTGCCTATGCTTGCAAATTCAAAATATGTTTGAAAAATCGTTTTTTTTAAGTAAATAGAAAATTTTGCTAAGATCGCGTTACCTCGACTCATTACTTTCTCTTTATAGTGTATGTGGCAATATTTAAAGGTATTAGTCAAAACGTCAGATTTTATCAAGAAAACCAGTGTGTGAATTTTTTAACTGGAAAATATAATGCCTCTGAAAACATTTATTTTGAAAGTAAATTTAAATAATTGGCATAATTTACATAAATGATAGTAATTTTAGTGAATGCTCGATTAAGATTTTGTCTAAATAAGCGGTTGTGAAAACAATGCCCTATTGATTAATGGCATGATAAAACGCCAATCAGTTGCATTGCCCCGAGGCGTGCTCTCAGTGGGCCTCCGTTCCTTCCTTAACTGGCCTGCTGTCATTTTTACCCCTTTTTTCTTCTCTACTTTATTGCTCAACTACTAACCGCAATGCTCACATTCACCATGTTGTTTAATTTTTCTGAAAGATTAGTTAAATACCCATAAGGTAGAAATAATCGGCACTATGGTCATTATCTCCCCAATGCGAATACCCAACCTATTTTAAGAACTGTCGATGGCTATTAATGATTTAACCTGCGCATGGTAAAGGACAAGACAGTTGTTTTGGGGTTTTTTCCAGATGCCACCGGGACTTGTTGATAAAGCTTCCCCAATATCATTAGGAAGGGTGAACGGGAAGATAATGCTGGTGTTAACATCTACTATCGTTTGAAACGTTGACGTGTTCGGCGGAACGTGCGAAGTTAGCACCTTTCTGATGCAGGCTTCGAGCTAACATGATACCAGTTCTGAATTTACACGTCGCGGTAGCATGCTTTGTGCCTTCAGTTGGTGGCAGCTACTCCTCCGAAAAGCGCAAAAATTGTCGGCTGACTGAACGTGTGAAACACAGGCCACTTCAGCCCGTTGAATCGGGCTGAATGTTAATTCAAAATCGCTTTTACGTGAGCCTTAGGTCCGAAAAGATATCCTTACCTGAATAATACCTGAAGAGAACAATTCTTCGATTGGCACTCTGCGGATGCATCGTGGTCACTTTGATTAACGAAAAGCCCGGTTTTCATGGGCTCAGCGAATAATTAGGCTGTATTCATCTATTCGTTGATTGCTCCACATTTGATTACACCCGTGCAGGATATAAAAGTAGACAATTGAAATCTCCCAAGTGAATTGCAATCTCGTAGATACAAAAAAAACCTCCTCTAAGCGACCCCACCTAAAATCAAACAGTGCTTATAACCATTGAAGGGAAAAATTCGCCAGTCTCTGGCTCGATCAACGTGTGGGCTGTGACCATATTAACATAGACTTCCAACTTTCGTTATGATACCTGTCACATTGACAACTGATTTAATTGTAAATTATTTTGGTAAGGTCGTACACTGTCTCACATTCACAAGTACGGATATGCATAAGACGTTTCCTTAAGAAAGTAAATTTGAGCTGTTTGCAGAACATACCAGCTACACAGAAAAAGTCAATACAATAAAAAGTTCAGCAGTCCCTCACAGCTGAATTTTAACTTTAGCTCTTCTCCTTATTTAAATACGTCGGAAGCCAATAAACCGCGTTAGGAAAGGGTTTTGAATTAAACCATATTTCCGTTCTAATGCGGATCACGATATCTTTAAGGTTAACTTTAGCTTAACGGGATTACCAAATTGTTCAATGTGTTCATCACGAGACATCAAGTAAAGGGCATGGAACAGGCTCTAAGTTATATCTTCAAAACTGTTGTCTTGGTAACAACTCAAGAGGGGTCGAGTTGTAGGGGGCTAACAAAGGAACTCGCCAACTTTATTGGGCACAGAAGTCCAAAGCATCAGCTCAAGATTAGAATAAAGTTAATTCAGTAGTTTAACAAAAAAGCCTTATCGAACTTTACGAACAGGTAGCATCAGCCATTTTTGAAAGGCTTCCACCAATGCTATGTGCGTTTTCTTTTCATCATAGATTACTGTCGCTACGACCTCACATAAAACACGAATTTCGCGCGTGATTGCAGCTACTGGTTTGGGGCTCATCTTAACAGTGAGATAAAATTTTGACATTCCTGACACAATCTACCTTTCGCTCGGCGGCTTCTGAGACTCACAGCGAGCTTAACTTGTCAGTTGTTAGCAAAGCCATGCGTCAGATTCCCGTGATAAAGGTTAAAACCAGGAGATTTTCACGCAAACTTCATCATCGTTCAGGCAGACGTACAATGGTTGCTATTTTGCTATGTCAATAATCGAAACTAGTTCCATCGCATCGCCTTATAGGTTAATTTTGAACAAACTCGAACAAATGTCTCGCACGATTTAACACCACAAGCTAGCTAGTACTTTGCAAATATACATGCTTTGATGTCCTCATTTGGAAACTCAAGTTATCCGTCGAATAAGACAGATTCTGAATCTTGGGTAACATTTTTGGGATTCAGAAATAAATGCTTGCCTGCATTCGAGATACTGAGGTCATTTGCACTTTTGAATTTGGCACTGGGAAAGTAAACTTTGCAACAAGTGATACAATCAAGAATTAGCCCAATTAGCTACAAATAATTAATTTTGGTTCACAATAAATTGAAGGGTGTCTATAGTCCCGAATCCCCTTGTCCTCTCTTGTATTTTGTACACTTGGCTTTGAGTAAACAGAGAAGGATGTGGAAGGACCTCCCAAAAACTTCACCTCGAGAGTATACATTCAGTAGTGACCTAGATTTTTGACAAATTCAACACTATACCTATGAAACAGTAAGGGAAGTGTCCGCATATTTTGGTGAATATAAATAATCTCTGCGAGGCAGACCTTATTTTACGGTGATTAACTCCTTATTACTTTAAAACATTATTGGAAAAATCATGGTAAATCCAAACCCTATTTTGATACATTCGCTTCGATCAGTTACGTGGTGTTGCTCACACCTCATGTCAGCCAATTGGGATCAAAAAACAAAAGCTAAGTAATCATTGGTTGATCTAGCGACCAAACCGCGATAGGCATTTTTATAGGCCGCTTCAGTCGATTTTGAGCAGTGACTTCCATTGTCTGTTCACTCACCTGCTGAGCCCTCCGGAAGAAAGCTAGGAATGCCGTCATCAACCAACAAACGCAGGTTATCAAGAGTCAGTGCATCAAGGAGAACATCTCAAATTTCCACAACCTTCGACACAAAAGAGACATCGTTTAATCAACAAGCAAATCAGTAAGCACCGTTTTAAATCATTGATCATTATTTTATTCCCATTTTGCATTACTTGCTGTTATTCTCCTTCAGAGTGGTGGAAAGAACACCATTCCCTGCACACAGGGCTGTCAATGAAGACGGCGCATTCACTACCAGCGCAGGGCGCAGAGATCCAAGCTGCGAATCAGCATTCAACTTGACATCTAATAAGCCTACAAATTTACCGAATCTTAAAAGGCCTCACAGGGATACTTCAGACCTCCACGAACACTTTCCTAAAATTACTGCTGGATCTAGTCCATATCCGAAGGGACATGATATTAGCTCTTGTGCGTGCTGTGACCAGCACGCAATCGAGAGGAAAAGGCCCCATTTAGCAATGGGTACTGGAGGCCTTCGAAACTTCAGAGGGCCGCTAGCGGCCTACCAGTCCTCAGCACCTCCATCCCCCTCACCCTTCGCCCCAATCTGTCCAGTTCCGAAGCCTCGAAACATTTCCGGGATCGAGACCATGGTGGATTTCAGTCGGCCATCTCTTAGATCCACTGATACTCAGACCTCACCACAGTCACGTAAGTTTATTTTTAGTTGCAAGCAAAATCTCACCACTCCTGGTACAATTACCTAATCTTTTTAGCGGTAAAACGATCATCAAGAAGGCGATCTCGTCGCAGCTCTGGTGGGCAACTTCTAGGTTCTATCAAAAAGAAATTCGAAAAGATTAGGAGATCATTAAGTTCCGATCGAAATACATCTCGACCAAAAGTTAACGGTGTCCAGGAATTGTCCACTCCGAATCGACCTGTCTCTGAATCCAGAAGTAAGTCACCAGAAATAGCCCTTCTCAGGCGCCATCGTGATGGAACCTGTCTGATCCAACTCCGAAGAAGTTCTCCCTCAGACCCGTTTGGAATATTCATGAACGCGGACTCTAATGGTAAGACAAACAGTACATTTGGAACTTAATTGTGTTGTGAAAATTGTGGCCGACATTATAAACACCCCATCGACTGCATAAGCAGATCTCCAATCTGGGCGTTGCCAACACCAAAGTGACTCCCAATTGCCTTTCGTTTGGTTGGAGCAAATATTTCTGACGTCATTATTTTTAGGTCTATTTGTGAGTCGGTTAGCCAACCAAGAACACATTTTACGGAGTCGAAAATTTCTACGCGTAGGAGATAGAGTCCTTACAGTGCAAGGAGTCCCTTCGGCAGACCTCACCACGGAATCGATTCATGGTCTCCTTCAGGGGTGTCACGTGGCAGTAATTACAGTGAAGTCAGTTGCAAATTGTTGATGGGTCTTTTTTTCTTGCCTTTGATTCCCTTCCATTGTACAGACCCTAGGCGTCAAACAGACTATATCATCATAAGCCATTGTGTTCTTACTATTACTTTTACTGGGTTGGATGTAAAGAAGACCAATTGGTCTTTTTGTCCATGCTCTGGTTGGTGATGCGTTAGTGATTTTCTATCATTGGAAATGTTTGTGTGCTTATGATAAAGCTAAATTAAGTAGGCTGAGCCACGAAAGCATCGATAGATATGCTGCAAGCCATTTCCTCATTAAGTGTAAATCCATGGGGTCTTTTATCTTGTCCTGTTGGTTAACTAACACTGCTTTTTGGCAAGTTGGTTTGTTAGACAATAGCCTTAACTATTAGCATGTCCCCATGTATCCCGCCTCGATGCTCGAGGCCTCCTCATTGTTGGTTTATACTGACTAAATGTGTAAGGGGTTGTCACTGGAACCGGAAGTCCTTAGGGTGTTGATTGTGTGGGAAAAGGGGATGAACAGCGACTCTTCCCCACTCCACCCCCTCCTGTTTCGTCTCATTGGCGGTCCCCTTGACAAGGAATAACCGGATGAAAATCTGTTTTAGTCCCTTGTTTTCTTATTTTTAATTAATCTGTTGATAGTTGCAGTCTAGTCAGTTTTTTCATTTGTAGAACAAAATTTAGTCTAATTCACTACGGATCGAACACATGCATTGATCCGGACCCTCTAAAAATCTACAATTGGGGTGTGTGGAGCTGAAAGGTCATGACCAAAAAATCAACTTGGTTCGAGACTAGGATGGCCATGATAATCACAAAAGCACCCACATTATATTCTTACGTTTTAACCTTATTAAGACAGAATTTAAGTAAATCCAAATATGGGCATTGCTTTTCCATTCTATCAATAGCTTCGGCGCACTTTAATTTGTCCACGGTACAGGAGGTCACATCGAAGGAAGCCAGATGTTTCTTTGAATTTAGGGAAATATGCGCAAATGAAAGCCGAAAGCCTCTCAGCAAATTTCTCGTCGCCGATTTGTCTTAGCCAAATTTGACAAAAACGCACACCAGGTAAGTTTTATCTAACCGAATGCCAGTGATTTGTTTCGCATGCCATTGTCATTTGCTTAACTCAGCCGAATATGACTTAGCACCCGCTGCTCCCGTGAGAATAACACCTTAGACGTCGAAATCAGTTCCGCTTCCATTAATACCTCCCGACACTGTGGCAACTTTGTTTAATGTCATCACAATAAAGCCAGGTTATAAGATGAAATTGCAAGACAGTAGATATGTTCCACGACTCCACTAAGACATATAAATATTTGCATAATATGTCATTTCATCACTGCCAAATTTGCTGCATTGTTTTCAGAAAATCCGGCCATCAAAAAATGTGAACATTTTTTATGGGAGGAATAAATAAGAAAATTCGATCCAACCTGTACAGTGATGTTCGAGACTAGAGGTGCCTACCTTAGCAGTAATATATTTCAATTCGTCTCAATAAAAGTGAACGGTAGACACTGAAGAACTCACGATTAATTGGAAATTTATTAAGGCATGAACTTTAGAAAAATAATTCCATTCACGATGTTGCGTTTTGGAAACGTGCTAAAACGTTTGTACGTTCTCGAGATTTCGCTTAGCACCGTTACGAATGCACAATAATACATTATGGCTCCACCAGCTGTTTTTCTGGGATATTCAATGAAAGTTGGGATTGTGCGATTTCAAGATTCACTTGCACATTTACTAGTTATGGTGTGATTTGCGATGGGTCTTGGAATAGTAGTAATCTCCACTCATGAGCATGTTGATAATGGTTCCGCTCGTCAGACGTTCCTTGCGCTTTGAGGATCGACAAGTAGCAGACTCCGAGGAATTCATGTTCCCACATGACGTGCCGCTTGTTAAGGAGGCCACTGGTGGCTGTGTTGTCATGGCGTAAGGGGGCAAGGGCTGGGGGTTATGGCAACCGGATCACTATGGCCACGCGCATGCTGACTGTCGTAACATGACGGCTGAGGTCAACGCTCCAAATAATAAAGCACATTTTGGAACACTTAACCCACAAAATTCAAATGACTTCGGCATAGATACCGGTTTATACCTTTGTGTTAACACTGGGGCAGCAACCTCCTGACCTCTAACTTAGAACGAATTCCAAGCTTGTTAAAAAGATGAACACAAATGGCAGCATAGGTCAAATGTATTTTCTACACACCTTAAAGATTTTGTGGTGGTAATATTATTACTACTATGACATCCCAGCAAACAAAGCATCGCGTACAATAGAGTCCCACGTTCCAGGGAAATTCTAGTGCAGAACGTATGGACTATGATTGGGTTACTTCGGTCCATCCCACACTTTTTCTCAACCCGTCACCTTCGGATTGTACATTTCTCGATTTTATTAAAATTCCATGAGGGAGGTGTAATTCAATTCAACTGAGGCTTTGATAATTCATTTCGTCAGCCCTGTTGACAAGAGACAATTTGGCTAAAGTGGCAGAATAAAAGGTGAACCCCTTTCCCACTGTTTTGCCAAATATTACATTATTGTACCTAACTTTCGCCGTGTTTTAGAAACTAAATAATTTTTACACAAACATATGGTACATTTCTCTTTGACCACACGTGCATTTTTGCTAGTAATGTATATGATGTCACAAAAAAGTATATTTCTCAATTTAAATAACAAATCCCGTGAAAATCAAAAGAATTTACTTCTACAGATGAAACCACTTTAAGGAGTTTCATTTTTTATGGTCGCAGAGAGCCCAGTCTCTCAAGACTCGCCATGCCGATTACCTGGCCTCAGTTAGTGGAACACAGTCTTCATTTGCGACCTGACATGTCTGATGTAAAATGATTCAAGGTAAATTGTGAACATATTACGAGTATGTAATTAGATGAAATCCACTTAGTATTTCCACCGTTCTCCTATCAATTCCTTACCACATTTTGAAAAAAATGGAAAATGCGGCAGGACTTTCATTTAAACATTTGAACACCACAAATTAACCTCTTTGATGGAGGTTTGCACATCTGCGTAATAGTATTGCATCAGTTTTAATATCCCGTAGAGGAACAACAGCGAACGCGTGACTGTTCGTACCGTCGTGAAATGGACGATTGACCGTGTCCGCCCTGTAGCGAATCAGACAAACGAATTAAACACTCATGTCTGGCCGATAAGCGGAATCTCCGTATGGAATCTATGGCCCTGGGCGCATCCCTGCAAACAAAATTTCAGGCCTGTATAGTTAAGCAGTCTACCAAATCTGAAATGTGTGAAAGTTCAGTTAAATTCTCCAAGCTTGCTTAATTCCATGTGGGTATTATTTCAAGCGACTTAATAATAGTGTCTAACGATGCAGCTACTTTATTACTACCTTCAAATAGTGTTAGCAACCGTTTTCTCTCTGTTGTGGCAATCGGTTGACCTTGTATTCTTTGAAAAAGTGGCTACGCATGCAAATGGGTCAGCAATTTAGATTTGTGCCATTCAACAAATAACAGTTTGTTTTTACGACCTGAGAGCAGGGTAGTAGCCACACGGTTCTGCGATCTTTTCAGTCAGATAAATTGCTTTGAAATTTTCAACGGTTCCGATAACTAAATATGAAGTCTTCGTTATTCGAGAAAAAATTTTAGGAGCAGTCTTATACGCGGTCAGTTAGCACTACATTGTTTCCGGTCAAATTGGTTGGTCATAGTTTAGAATCCAAGCATAATCCTCGAATTTCTTGCATTGTGTGTCAAATTCCTACAAGAAGCAGGATTCAATATTTATAACAATCAATGGGTTACGTGTAATCTCCAAAGATTACAGTCTTATTTAAACCTTCACTTTAATTCAAACATGTACTACATCCCAACCAACTCGACAGACAACTGCAATACAACAAAATAACATTTATTGAACGATGGACCCAGTAACTATCATAACAGGTTTCCGCCAAATAAACTCACTACTTGTTTTAAATGACAGTTTGAGCCCTCGGTTCTCATAGACTGTCAAATCTGTTACTGTTGCCATCGCATTAGAAACCCATCTGCCATCGCGTTCACCACCGGACGTGGCTGGCGTATTTTCCATGGCACGAGTAGTTCAGTCGTGTTCAAACAAGTTTTGGTGTCGTTAGCCTGCGAACATCCACCCAGGTGCGAGGGCTAATTGCTCCACCCTAACGCTTGCTATCACGTGTGCTAGTGGGGCTTGGAGTTTCAGTCACGGGTATTGGTGGAAGAGATCTCTATTTGAATGATGACAAGTGCATTTGCATATCCGTGTGTGATACCGGGCTTGTACACGTGCGTTGGGTGCTGAAGAGCTTCTAGGATGGAAATTAGCGATTCTCTTGTCAGAATAACTGAATACCCTCCACGCGCATTGCGAGGGCGAAAGGGCCAACTTAGCACCAGCTCATTGGGCCTCAGTCCACGTGTGCTGCTCAACGGGTAAATGTTAGATTTGTGTTAAGCACACCTGGAGAAACAGAAAAGACCACTTAGTGCTCCACACAAGTTTGAACTCAAATTGTTACACTCAGTCTGACAAATTATGACGTGACGATCGACGAAAACCTTGAAAATGTTATGGTGCTGTGACTAAAATGGAGGTGTTCAGAAAAGCTTCGAGTACTGTTGTATAAATCTTAAGTTTTATGGGGACCAACTCAACTTCTAACGTCACCATGAAAACTCTCCAGTAGTAGTGGGGATTGGAATTTCCGTAAATACTAATTGGATAGATTGCGGTCATACCTGGTTATATTGTCTAACTGCCTGACATCATTCATCCGATCCAGTGGCTTTTCAAATTTTTACGTGATGGCACACCTCTGGAGATGATGCGTGTTCAATCAGTAGATATTCTTTCTGTTGATGGAAGTCTGGAATTACATGGCCGATACATTTTCCCGCCTTTAAAACTCCCAGAAGCAAATCAAATTCCAAAACCTGCGGGTGCAAAGCTAGTGGGGCTTTTCGAGACAGGTATGGTCCGATGGAAAGGTTTGCTGAGGGTCCACATAACCTGTTTGTGCTTGCTTTCTAACGAACGCCTGTGAATTGTATGCACACGCAGTTTCAAAGTCGTGTCCATATCATTGTGGCACCGAAGAAGCTAATTGCAGCCACAAACATACAGGGGCCTGTATGTTGGGATTACTTTCACTTTAATTGGTCCATATTAGCAGGTCTGCTTGAGGTGACTTTTTGTTTTTGACGGCAGTCAGTGGCTGATTTTAGAGGAAGCAGTACAATGACCAAATGAGTGATTTAGACTTAAATAGTGGATGAATCCTCGTGTTTGGTTCGTTAGCACATTCAGGAATTATTCTGTATTATGTGTGAATATGAATCACGCACATTCAAGCGCTTTGTTTTGAAAAGACGACGTTGTAGACCACGTGTGGCAGACCCTCATGTATGTCAGGATATTTCCTCACAATATTTCTGCCCTCTTCACAAACTATACTGTATTGTATTGTCCTGTGTCCCCCAGGCTTGGCTGTTGTGACCTGAAAAACACGCACCAAGTGTTTTCAGACGTTATCTTTAGTAACGAGAATAATTTTTATCATATTATCGCCCTCAACCGCACATTCATTTAGGTAAGTCGTTCTTTTAAATTTGATCAAAAGCTATTCAAATAGGATCGTCGTTTTAACGCTATGACTTTTTAATAGTTTTACAATTATGGAGTTTTGAGGTGACTGTGAGTACCTACTTTATTTGAGAAACCACCTTCACTGACCACTGGACACTCACGGAATCTTATAGTGTGACTGGCGAGGTTCTTCACAATACGCGAGTGCTCCTACCCTTCGCCAAAAATTTCTTTTTTATGTAGCGCTAGGAGTAACCAAGTGAGACTCTGGCAAGGGATTCGGTGCCGTTTTCATCCAATCGGTTTATTCTGATTTGTCGCCAAACATGGCAGGCGGAGGACTACTAGCACCATCCTTCGCGGCATGGGGCCTCACTGAGGAGAGGTGAATGTGTCGAGTCAGGAAATGGGATCTGATTTATGGTGGTAAAGTTTCGGCACCCCACGATTGCACAGGGGCCGACCAGTAAAATCGTGGCCAAAGCCCAGAGATGGCAGATTTGCTGGTGGGTAATCAGCAGGTGCAAAACGGGAAAAGGTGACTTTGCTTCTGCCATCCAGTTTAGCAAATAGTCTGATTTCAGAATCCCAGTGTCAGCTCGTCCCATCAATTGGTACACATTGCGTTATTATACTAGTGATTGATTTGTGAATGCAAGTTACCGTACGCGTCATAAACAGACGGGCCTGGCAACCGAAATACCAGAGTGGTTGATCGGTCCTGTTTGTGCGTGTACGCCCAACTTGATGCCTTGGCTGGCCAATACACGCACACACGTCCACACGTCCACGCACACCTGAGGGCTCCGATTGCTAAAGCGAGCGTTCGACTTCCAGCAGTAGCTAACACATTGCTAGTGTATTAGTCATAATCTTCCTGGCCGAAAATCTGTTGAAAATTGAAGAATTTTACATTGTCTTTCAGTCACAAAAGAGAGCTCATTCTTCAACCCTTTCAGAATTTCACAAACTTCGAAAGTTTGTAGAAACACAGTTGATGCTTTCTGATATGAGAGTCTTATATTGATGCTGAGTACTACTAAGACCAATTTTTTCATTGTGGACGTGATTGAACACCGATATGGGTTTACGTGTTCGCTCTAGGCGAAGTCGCATCTCAACGTTTGATAAAAAGGATTTTGTATTTCATTTACAGATCGGCTCTATTGGTAGGGAAATTTACCTAAGCGAAATGTTCATATCTTTCCAACATTTGTCGTGTTTGTATCTCCAGGTCATTTGTGGGATAAATTTAGCCAAACACAGCAATGCAAATTTTATGGAACTAATCTGAGGTAACTGACACGTGGGTGTCACGCGATTCCTAACAGTTAGTTCTGCAAAAAAATTTCGGTTATTTTGGCAGTTAGATGTCATTGTTGGCCCCTTCGAAATGTCAAAATAGGTGTCAAGCCGAAACGGTTGGAGTCATGTTTGTAGGGGGAGTCCATAATCTTACCTCCCTAAACCATTGATTTTTAACGTTGAACTTTTGGCGCCAAAACTAAACATCACACGCACAAAGCTTATCATTCTGACCTGACAGATTTTGTTCATCCATGAAACTGGAGTAACCGCAACTTCCCCGACTGAAGCTGTGCGTGATTCTAAGCTATCAATCGATGTCTCCAACTGGGTCGCTTCGTGGCTGATTTCGAAAGTCGCCTCTCCGTTCACATATTATTATTAATAGTATTAATATTAGGCACATAACTTAATTTTTTCCAGATTTTATATTTAAAGTAGAAGCATTTTCACGGACCTGTGTGCTTTTGAAAGGACCAGACGCATGGTTCCACAATACCAAACAAAAAGTCTACGTAGGTTACATAACCTCCCAGAATAACGGGGTTTATGATAGCAACTGATAAACAGCACATTCGGCGACACTACATTTTATACGAATTCCAAACAGGGACAAAACGCTTCTAAAGCACAGAAATCAATTTGTGGTGTTCTTCGGGTTGACGTTGTGTCTTATGAAACGTGCAATTATTGGTACCAACTTTTTGGAAGTGGTGACTTCGACCTTTGTGACCAGCCGCACCCCGGACGGCATCCTCCCAAGTTTGAAGATGTGCAATTGCAAGCTCCACTAGATGAAGGCCCAACGTAAACACAGCAAGAGCTTGCAGCTCAGTTAGGAGTCACTCAAACAGCTATTTTGAAGAGTTTGCACCAAATGGGAAGTTGGGTCCCGCTTGTGTTGACCGAACACAACCTAGGTCAATGCATGAGCATATGCTTCTCACTGCTTACCCACCATCAAAAAAACATGACTTATTGTGTAAAATTGTGGTGGATGATGAAAAGTACACTTTTGCTACGGGCGACTTAGTACATCGACGCCGGAACACGACATCCACTTGAAGAAAAAGGTTCTCCTGTGCATCTGGTGGGCCGTACAGGCTGTACTCTATTACGGATTCCTGGAAACTGGTCAGGCGGTGGCGGCGCAACACAACAACCGATAATTGAACAAAATGAGTGAAGAATTTGATCAGAAAGGGCCACTTACTGGACAAGGAAGCAGGCAAGTCAGAGGACCCTCTTGAACTTGGGATGGAAAGTTCCCCCACACGCGGCATATCCACCAAACTTGGCCCATTTAACTACCATTTGTTCCAGCCAATGCAGCAGCACGACTCAGTGAACAAAAAATTCAAAAAGTTGGACGATGTGGGCAAATTCGTCGATGACTTTATTGTCTTGAAGTCTGCAAGTATCTTTCGAGACAGCAATCATATGTCACCTGAGAGATGGTGTCAGGTCATAGAAAACGATGGACAATATTTCTAAGAATAGGTTCTTTGTTCTCAATACTTATATTTAATAAATTTGTTACGAAATCTGTACAACTAACATCCTACACCTAATAGTTCGAAGCCTTTGACTGAACTAGATCCATACCATCATTATGCGTTTCAACCTAATTTTATTTGATCAGGCTTAAAATGAAATGTTTTATTTTTGCAATATTGACAAATTTAATGGGCTGCAAGGGTTATCGTACACATCGACTTGAGTAGAAAACCAAAGCAATGTAAGGCAAATGAGAAAACATGTAAGTTGTTTAAGAAACCTACATGATGACGGCCCCTCCTAGGGAGCATCTGATCCTTCAAGTAAGCAGTTAAGGTTGCCTTGAATTATGTTGTGAGGGCCCTATAGCATAAATTACTTAAAATTGGCACTTGACTACCAGTCACCAAGGTAACGTCCCAATGATTACTGACTTCGGATAGTTTTTTAGTTAAGCATATTACTCAGGCCCCTCCACGACCTGACATAGACAGACTCATGTTATTTTTTTGTACGAAAACAATTCTTAAATCCGCATAACTATTTAATTGAAATTCGCATTACTTTTACTTGTCAAAGGGTGAACTGTTCATCGCTCAATTCAACGAAAATGGCGGCATAGTGGGGGAAATGAGTTTAAGAACCATTCCAATGCAGCAATCTTGATACTTTCGTAAAGGGAATCCACAGAATCGTGCCAATGCATTCATAGGAGGTAGGAACAATGGACGGGCACAATTCCGAAAGTCTTGTCTAAGGCATGGTTGCGTGCCCCTAGGCATGGATACACGGCCCCATTAGTTATCTTTCCCACTGTTATACAGGAAGGATGAGATACCGAGGTGCCACTGTTTCAGTCCAGCTGTGCCCTCTCCCCTTTGTGCGTCGGAGGGCATCTGGTTCGCACGAGAGCGGCAGTGAGTGTTGCCTCTGCTCCCCCACACCCCTACCCAGCAGTGCTGCACCCTGTCCGAACGGCCTGGCACGTGGGCCTGCGGAGGTGGGCAGCAGTGCGTGCCCAGCCGCTTCATTTCGACAGGACCATCAAGATTTCGCAGGTGGTCTATTTTTGTCATGAAGCCATGACACAGCAGTGCCACCTCTTGGATTAGCTGTAGCCGAGTGCCTTCGCAGGCGTGTTAATTAAAAAAAAGTTGGATTGTCATGGATAGAGACGTCAGTATATTTACATTATTTATGACATAATATTGAGAATACGTATTTACAAAATAAGTACATGAAGCAGCAAAATAGTATGTGTGCAAAAAATATTATCTCGAGGTTGATTTCACTCTGATAGTTGCAACGTGGCAACCCTGAAGGAGACTTCTTACGGTGCCTGTGTCAAGGCCTCTGGCCGGAACATTCTGGACTTCAAGTACACGGTCTCCAGTGCGTAGGAAGGCTCGTTCCCCTTTAACATGGTCCTGATTGCCGAGACGACTCACGTAGAGACCTAAAGATTAAACCACCTAGTAAATGGTTGAATTTAATGCAGTTCCTTAAAATCTGCCCATTGGCAACTTACCCTCAGAATCCGTCTTGATGAAAATTCCAAACTGATCAGAAATTGAACGTCGCTTCATTTGAATTAGCCGACTTCCATCGGTGGAACGTTTAATTAATGTGTATTTGGTTGCGACACTAGTCTCGATGAGCCTCCTCTTTGGTGTAGCCGGATTGGACTCATCTCCAAAGAACAAGCGAGCTTTAGCCCTGTCAGAACTCACAGACCGTCGGATGTGGTTAATCTTTTTCTTGATTGAGTTGAGAAGTGCTCCAGAGCTTCGTCGGGAGCGGCTACGCCGGCTTACTTTCTTCTCGCCTAAAAAGTTAGCAGAATTTCTAAGATGCGAATCCGACGAAGCGCATCGTGGAAGCACATAAGCCTCTTATGACTTACTGGAGGGGGGCGAGGTTTGTGTCTCAGTGGATCGGAGGACGGGTCGGGAGCTCTGCCCGAGGCAAGTGTAGCTTGCGAACTGTGGTGGCATTGGAACCGGACATACCGGCGCGAGCTGGTGAGAAATGGTTGTTGGAGAGGCAGTTACAGCGGGCAGTCCTCGAATAGCTCTGATTCCCCCAGCGCCCATCGCGACCAACGGCCGTTTTACCGAAGTTTGGGGAGTGCAACAGGCACAGACAATGTCATAGTTATCAACCTCCACATCCTCTGTCTTCGCACTCTTGCGCTTTGCCCCAGCAACAGTAGGAAAATGTTGCTGAAGGCTACCATCTAAGCTCCGATTGGTTCGCTTCAGCGTTGAAGTTCGAGTGAGCCGAGGTACAGGGGATGGAGAGCTGTCATTTGAATAGGAACTAATAATAGAAAGGGCATCTTCGCTGTCTGTCCAGTATGTTTTTGGGAGTCTACTCCCGTCAATATTGTCACTACATAAAGAGAAGCAAATCATTAAAATGAGGTGTATAATAGTAATTCTACCAAGCTGTGGCATGAAAAAACACTCACTCAGGATTTTTTCTCATTGCCCGAGTTAGAGAAGCAGAGGGGGGGATATAGTAGGCCCTCATTGGTCCTCCTTTTGCTGGACATCCACTGGAATTGAAAGACATTGATGTCATCTCTTTGAAAAATATAGTTGATCTGTTGAAAATAAAAACAATATCTCCTCTGGAAAATCTGTTGATCTATGTTCAAACCCCTCGAAACGTACAGTCCTTTTAAAGGTCCTCTTACCCACTTCGTTGTGACTGACCAATAGAATACCAGAGGTCAGAACTGTACTTATGATTGGCTATCGCTCCCTTGTTGACAGCCCAATAGGAAAAGACTAAGTGGACTTTTTCACATTGGAGTTTTCTAATGTGCAATTTACGTTAAAACATTGCTTTACCAATGTACTACAAAATAACCAGAATGATTAAGTTAACTTGCCGAGATTCTCAAGACTGTTCTTTAATGGAAATTCCCGACTTCTAAAGGGTTAATCAAAACAGGATTCGCAAAGTCCAAAGGAATCAGTTGTCGGATATGATTAAATAAATAGCGTGACATTTTGGCTTATTAAGAAAAGTTTTTAAGTTGTTGCTTGAATCCTTCCGATAAAAGTCTCAGTTATACCATTTAACCAATCTTAAGACTCGTCATAAGATTGACAGACTTGCGCCTTGAGCCTTCAATTTGGCTCTTTGCTTAAATCCATGCAAATAATTAACTCTGTCAGAAGCATTGATCGAGTGCAAGTTTCTCCTAGTGCGTGCCACCTCTGTGCGTCTGATGAGGGAGGTTTTAGGGCAAAAATATTCGAAGAGGCCTGTTTTGATGGCAGCGGCAAGAAGAAAGGCTCCACTGAACTCCAGGGGTGGTAGTTCGAGGGACAGACCTCGGAAGAGTGAGTTGAGTGAGATGGGACGTTCCAAACAGATCCTTGTATATCTATTTGGCGATTCTGGTGTTATGAGATCTTGCGTTATCATGGTGGAGTCTGACACTTTTTTCCACTTATTTCCCATGCGTGTTCTTGAAGTAGAGCAATGACCAAGCTGCACGCAATATTAAATTTGCGGCTGTGCTTTCATTGGCATTCGGAACGACACTGCGAGGAATTTCTGTGAAATCCATTTATTTGATGAATACACTATTTTCTAATGAAGACCAATTTCTTATGCGGTTTGTGTGAGTGTTTGTGGGTTAAAGTACGGCCCTAGATCTGCACAGGGCTATCTTAAAAAATACGTCTGCTACTACCAAGGTGGCGGAATACACCAAGCCGTTAGTTAAGCAAAAGCGGAGGTCTACGAGACAGCATGTCGATGTGCTTATAATTCATTCAACAGGAGGCGGCAGTGCTTCCCAGTGGAAACGCTACTCAGAGGAGAAGGCCACAGCGAAAAACGCTGCCTTGTGCGTCATCTGCATTGGCTTGCACCCGCCGCTTTAGGCACACACATGCACACGTGCCACTGCATGTTTTGTCTCCCGTCTATGGGGCCACGATGCCAGTCGCTCCCTCCTTCCCCCGCGCCATGCACCCACCTTTCTCCCATGTCAACAAAACGGGCTCACGTGGGGAGGACGGGGGGACGCTGCCCAATCATCCCTGCAGATTTCGAGACTGGGCGAGGTAAATGTAGCCAGGTTGGGTAGATGGAAAAATGCCGAAGGGGGTGGCTGGGCGTGTGGGGCCACAAAAGACATAAACGGGGACGAGTCTGCCATCGAATTGGGGCACGCGATCACACGAAAACGAGCGCTTTAATGTCTCAGCTACATGGGTCGCCGTTAGCCAAGGATTGTGTTGTAAATTGTTAATCTTTTGGGAGACGTGACTACAGAAAGCAAAAGGCACGTAGTTGCTCAATCCACTGTATGGAGGTCTGAAAGGCAAATAATATCTGGATTTAACCAAAAATTTCTTCTTTTGGCTTCTGGTAGAATTAACTTCAACTGAGGCTCGCGAAATGACTTGGTTTTGGTTAAAATGTGCTCTTTTACTCAGTTCATCTTTATCGTAGCAGCTGAATCTCACCAATTTCCGTAAATAACGGCAATAACCCGCAGTGTCCCAACACTAGGCATGAAAATTTTCGATTTACTGATGTCATATAAAACCTAGTACACAAAAAAAGCAGACAGGCACGCGAATAAATTTTTTCCAGAATGGAATACATGGTTGGACTGCCATGTGGGAGCACACTTTTTATGGAAAAGATGTGGAGCAAGCAGCCATACTGTCAACCGTGAAAGCCGCAGTCTCAGTATTGCCAAGTGGTTGTGCCGATCGTTCGATAAACTTTAAATGATCCACACATCTGAACGGATCATGAGTTTTCAAAGGAACGCAGATTAAATTCTGACTCTATCTTCCCGATGATATGCTAGCGATGGCGGGAGATTCTAAAAATAATCCAGCTGGGATCCCTAAAATGCCCACGACTCAAAACACAAGGTCATTTTTTGAAAAACAGTGAATAGGAGGCGAACTGAAATTTTAATGTAGGGAGTATTAAAAGGGGTGGGGGCTGATGGGAATCAACTTTCAACGTTTCATCCAAAGACACCTATTTCCCTTCTTCGCACAGTCAAAGGCAGGTTCCCAAAGCAGAGAACAACGTCAACCAACTTTTGTGAGCCATTGAAGTCACATGATTTTTCCCTGTCAAGGTTGCGGGATTGGTGTTCCGTTTTAGAAAGTAATTTTTCAGGTTAAATACTGAACAATCGCAGAATGGGCAACCAATTTATTTTCCGTGACTGGGAATGAAACAAGTAGTGGTGGTTTGGACCGGTGTAGATGGATGCATAAAACATTTTACACGTGTGGGATCGACATGTCTGGCAAAGGCATTAACAAGCCGCTCGTGTCCCCGATTTTTTATCACCTGATCTTATCTTGGATGCCCCATGTCAAGGCGGCAGGTGACTGCGTAAATGGTTCAAACGCACGTCAGTAAACATGCTCGAGGCCTGCGCCGACTAAACCTGCCAAGCGTAAAACCAAGTCTACAGCAAGAGTCATCAGGGCTGCATTCGGAGCTGGGTTTGTTGAAAAAAATAGCAGAAGCTTCCATTCTTCCTGCATCACGGCACACACTTTCTAAGGCCTGAGTGTGAGCCGGTTAGTCAATTTCCTGTTTGCATCGTGTGAACAAAGACCACGTGCTGTCAGGCCATACGGAATTATTTTTCGAAACATCTACATCGTTCACCTGTTGACTGGACTCGTTTGTGCCGGACGAGGTATGGGGGAGAGGCTGAGGCTGTATGTGCATGCAGTACCCACCATGCGTTAAACAGCACATTCAAACTCGGTGGCACGCGAGCATGAATCAACCCCCACTGCCTCGTGTGTGTGTGTGTGTATGTGTGTGTGGTGTGTACGTGCGTCTGGGTGGGGGTGGGAGTTAGTCATCTACAGTGTGTTCTGTGGAGGCATGCGCTCGTTGCGTTTAGTGACTGACAGGCCCCCAGCGTTAGTAGAACAGAGCGCGGTATTTTTTCGAAGAGAAGTCGTTTGTCTCCAAAATCCAGAATTCGCCATGCAAATACGTTTTGCCTGAAGATAATGAGAAATGCACCAAAAGAATAGCACATGACATAAAAAGTAACCAGCACGTGGAGGCTCATGCCTCCTAATTAATTTTTCTTTACCAATGAAAGCCCCATTTGAATTCAATCAGTCCCGTCTTATGCTTAAATGTTGCCCTATATAATGTCTTCTATCACATTAAAAATACTTGTATTGGAGCTTGTTGTCCCGTACACCACAGCTGATATTTCCTTCTAGTCTAAAGCGCGTTTGTGTTAGAACAATTATAAAATCTACTTTTATATTATTTGTCATCTCTTCCCTCGTCCTCTCCTTTTTGTGGCACTCCTTCACGGCCCCAGATCATTGCGCCATTTCCTTTTGATAAATAACCGTTGATACATCTGTGTAATAACGATTCCCCTTTACGCCAGTTCGAACCCTCGAAACGAGGGCATTAAACAATGGCATTTGGCTAAAAAATAAATCCAATAACGGACAGTGGTGTCCGAGTACCCATGTCGTGTCCTGCAGGACGGAACAGCAGACTTCAAATCAGTAGCAAGTTGGTACTTTGGTAACAGCCTAGGGTAGCATTCATTAAACTACAGCTGTTGATTACCTACGAGTTGAATGTAGTGTTTTGCATTATGGTACATACCAATGAAATTGGGCTGATTTGTAAGTCTGAGATTAAGGAAATCAGAAGCGCAACACACCAATCACAACTTTAAGATTGCACTGGCAAACTATTTCCGTAACGAGTTCCCAGAAATTCTATTTTGGAAGGATAAAATAAGGCATGATCCTCCTGGCAACACCTTTTGGTGCATAATTTAGGACGCTTTGCTGGAACTGGAGGAAGTTGGTGCCTCTCAAGCACTGTCATCCCTCGCATACACACCACGGGTGACCACCATTACTGTTGCTATCCTCTTCATCGACATCGGGCAGGTTGAAATGCGTCACTTCGTCTCCATTTTAACCAAACAGATCTGCAAAAACTATCATGGATCCGAAATTTTCATGTCATTATAATTGAGTTTTGATACGACACACGCCTCCACAAGAATTTGCATAGTACAACGAAAGTGGGTAATCTTACAATCACAGA